GAATTATAAATTAGAGTTTTTGGCCAACAATTATTTTTTTAAAGTCTTAGACTTTATTGAGAAGTATTGTAGTTTTTTGGGTGGGACTATGACCTTAGTTTTTTTGGTCTTTTTATATTATAAAAATATACATATAAAATATTAATTAAAATTATTAAAAAAACACACAATATTAAATAAAATTAATTTTATAATATATATATATATATATATATATGTTTACCTTTTAAGACATACAGTATTGCAAGAAAAAATATTGTGTAAGATATACTGCCAAATGCCTTAATATTATTAAATCGACAAAAGATCCAAATACATGAACTTGATATTGGTGCTAAGATCATGGTCCCATTTGTGGATTTTGGAGAATTAATTCATATAAGTGGGAACAAAAATGATTGATGGAGTGCAACAGAAAACTTTTCCCCCCCTTTTTAAGCAGTTGTAGGGATGAGAAAAGTAGAAACGTCCATCTGGTTATATATTTTATATATTATATATATAATATATAGAGAATAGTATTTATTCGCTTATTTTTTAAATATTAGGAAAAAAATTATTTCAAGAGTACGTTGTTTTGATAAACTATCACTAAAAAAGACTAACATATTTTATTTTTAAAATATAAATTAAAGTGTTTTTTTGTTATTTTCTATAGTATTTTATTAAAATGATGTAGTTTTAAAATAATTTTTCTCTTAATTTTTAGAAGATAAATCAGATAAATACTAACTTCGTATATATATATATAATATTGAATTGTATAAGAAAATGTAATTCTCTTAAATGATTTCATTTGCATATTTATGATTTATACTAAAATTCTCTTACTATTAACGACTTACGTAAGTAAGTTAGTGTAATTTTTTTCTCTTAAAAATAAAATATCTTAAATTTGAGTTGCATAACATATAAATAATATGATTTAAGCCTTTAAGGGTTAAACAAGAGTTACTTTCCATTGTGCAACTCAATACATATATAAAAAAAATTTCTCTTACCCTACTTAAAAGACAAATTAACATTAAATTATTTAATTCGTTAGCATATATAAAAGTTACTGAGTTGCAACTTAAGCTTAGTAGATTGAAATTATTAATACTACTAGCATAAAATTAAATCCCAACAAGACAGAACTTGATCCTTAAATTTAAGGGGTGTCACCTCACCGTAACCATTAAACCAACACTTAGGTTATCTTAATTTGGTTTTGAGGGTAGGAGAGGGATGAGTTTTTTAATGAATTAAATTGTATTATTTGTTAATGTTATAATTTAATTAATTAAAAAATTATCCATTTCCTTTCATTCATATCCTTCAAATTAAATATACTCTTACTTACTAGTTGAAATTAGCCAAAAATCATATCACTAACATCGATTTAATGTATTTAACAAAATTAATTTCCTTAGATACTAATTATAAAATTTAAATTTTAGACTTACTTTACAAGATAAAACTTGTTTACCAATAGGTTAAATTTTTGAGTTTGAATACATGCAATATTGAATTGAATCTTAAGGAAAATCTTGACACAAAAAACTTCTTCTGATGTGGTCGATAAAAAATCTCTTACGTGTCAATTTTTATTGAATAGGGATACAACTGAAATGGTATTTTGTTAAAACAAAAAAAAAAAATGGTATTTTCAAACTAAAGGTATATATATATTCAAGCCTTACATGCATACACATTTGATCACAAACAAATAAAATACAAGGAAGAGTAAATCA